CCCCCCCCCCCCCCCCCCCGGGCTATTCCTCCCTGTATAATTGCCTCGGACGATCTCACTCATCCAGATGCATTTTTGATGAACTAACTGGAATTTTAATTGCTTTCAGCCCCTCCACCTCCCTTCATCACGTTGCCTGCCTATAATCAAAGTACAGCACCAGATAAAGTTGGGATAAACAGATAATATGACTTATCCAGGTACATGTATCCCATTGATGAACTCACTGTCCAACAACTGTTTAGACCCACTACATTAAATCATAGCATCGAAGTACTTCTGTGATTTAATATACGTTGTACGTGCATTAATTGTGGTACTTCAGTGTACATTGACAAGGGTAATATTCGATGTGTTAGATGTGAAAAGTTAAGTTTTGCTAGAATATAAATCTACGTTATATATCTGCAGATTTTTTTACGCAAGCTTTTAAATGCCTACTATCGAGATATTTTAAAAACACAGCAAATGAAATATATCAAAGAGCGCATTCAGAATAGATGATCCGCGGACTAAATATGGCGACCCCACTAAGGCGATGCCGCTAATTTCCTGATGGCCTCCCCGCCTCCACACGCATTTTCGCTGCAGTGGCCTTGCAATTAAACCTCGGAGCCGAGATGTAATCAGTTTAATGGGGAGTGTTGAGGCGGGGAGGCCATCGGGGAGCATCGCTTTTTATGATGGTTGACCATATTTAGATTTAGTCGGCGGATCAGTTAGTGCGCGGATCATCTGTTCTGAACGTGCTCATTAAATTATCAAATACGCTTTTATACTGGAATAGGCCATATATTCGAATCTTATATTTATTTACACTAAAGAAGGTAAGATGATAAAACAATAATTAAACAGGCTCAGCCTAATGGATTGCAGTAAATATAATGCACGATGAAGTGAATTAAGACAAAAGATGAACAGTAAGTGTGCTTTGTCGATATCAATTAAGTAGTACGCATCAATTAATTAAGACCTGCCAATGAGTCACTATCCTATTGAGACCTGTCAGGTCGTATTGAGGTCACAACAAACATGGTGGTTGTGGACGCGGAAGTAATGTTTACAAGATAAATTTTCACAAAATTTAAACTTTTAACCATCAAATTCCCGCTCAGATAATCGAGCATGCCAAAGAAAGGGACTAAGCCTTCCACAGAGGCAGCTAGAGCAGACCAAGATTACGCAAATGAGGAGTTTGTCAGCGCGAAATCTCTAGCCGAACAGTTACGGAAATACAGCCTCGAAGATCTACTGACTGAGGATTCGAAAGCTGAGACGAAAGAAAATGGAGACGTTGCTTGGTTTCACGGTAAAATGACTCGAGACACAGCGGAATATATTCTCAAAAAAGGTGGGCAGCCAACAGTTGTACTTTTTTTTATTATATTTTTAACGACAACTTTGACCAAGATTAATAGGGCGTTTTTGTACACAAATGCATTTGCTAGTACATGTGTACTAATTTTTTGTCATATTTATTACACATCCGATAAGGTATTTAGATGTGTCATATTTATAACACATCTGAATACCTTATCAAGATTTGCCTAATGTTGTACACAAAGGGAACACTGGAAATAAGCCTATTGGATTTTATGTGACACCTACTTTATCTTTTAAATGTAAGATTTCAATATCCAGAGATAATCAAATTGATTCTTTAGAGTGTTGTTGTAAGGAGGTGAGAGAGAACAACTACCACCGTGGTTAGATTTATTAAAATTTTAGTGGAATATATATATATATATATATATATATTAAAATTTTAGTGGAATATATATATATATATTCCACTAAAATTTTAATAAATCTAACCACGGTGGTAGTTGTTCTCTTACCTCCTTACAACAACACTCTAAAGAATCAATTTGATTATATATATATATATATATATATATATATATATATATATATATATATATATATATATATATATATATATCAGGGACGGATTCCTTACCTATTATATATATATATCAGGGACGGATTCCAAATTATCTTTGTTTATCCATCCTCCATTTTTGACCGTCTTCCAAAAGAAAAAATCAGATACCCGTCAATGTAAACTTGAAAATCAGACCGTCTTCCGGAAGACCCAGAAGACGGCCTAAATCCGCCCCTATATATATATATATATATATATATATATATATATATATATATATATATATAGATATATATAGTCTAGTGAGATTTTTGAAAAAAGGCTCTCCATAAGATGCAAGGGGCATTTTGGGGTAAAAGTTGGAAACCAGGCTTATTAGCATAATTTTGGGATGCTGAATCTGATTTACCCGGTTCCCAAGCGAAATTTTGCGTTTTTTACGGTCTTATTTGCAAAAAAGCAAAATGGCCGCCAGATTTCCTATTTTCTACAATATCTCTGGAACTAGACGGGCAAATATGACAAATGAAGTGTCTTTACCTATATTTTCAGGGTCGAGGAACATTATTAAGATGTTTCTGTTAGAATTAGATTTACGCAATTTTCCTAAATATGCAAATTAGGATCGCCATTACTGAAAAACCGTTTTACTACTGTATCTCTGTAACTAGGCAAGCAAACATGACAAATGAAGTGTCTACACCTATGTTCTCAGGGTCAGGGAATGTGATAAATCAGAATTCTTGTCTGATGGGTAGCACTGACTTTGTGAATCATGTCCGAGTAGCACCTTTTATTGTTTCTTCCCTGTATCTGTCAAACACAAGTCAATCTGCTGATAGTTAGAACCTGCCTTCACAACTGCTCTTACGTACGTGTCAGCCAAACTACCAAAGGTCACTGCATTGTCAGGCTTTCCCAGTGAAATTGCCAGTGCTTGCCCATCAATTATAAGGCAAGGTGAGCAGAGGCGGATCCAGGATTATTTGAAGGGGGAGTCCGCGGATGCAAAGCCTCCCCTCCCCAACAGTTAGGGGCCTGTTGAAGGGCCAGGAAAAATTTTGGTATTTAAGAGGGCGAACGGTGCCATTTGGTATGGCTACGATTCAGCTAGTCAAAATTATAATTTCAAGGGGGGACCAGAATTCAAAGGGGGGCCGGGTCAGGGCCCGCTTGACCACCCCCCTTCCCCCCCCCCCCCGCCACTAACTCCGCCGCTGGGTTAGGAGTAATTCAGTTTAAATTCGTCAGGGCAGAATACGTCTTCTGTTAACCTTTCTGTTACAGATTTGGCCTCAACGAAATCGTTTAGAAGCTTGAGAAACTGCTCAGACTTGCTATTAACACAGAAATGTTTTCCATATCGTCAATCATTTAATTGGATTCAATAGAATATCAGAAGATTAAAGCTAAATTTCAAGAAATTTTGTTAATTAAAATGAAACGCTACCAATGGGTAACCAGTAATAAGCTAATGGAAAAATCGCTGAAATGAATGAGGTGAGATGTCATCGTGTACTTGAAGTATACACATACATATTGACATTTAATATGGAATATTTTAGTTCAAAAGGAAAGTGTTGATAATAAATTAACTTTTTAGAAAAATTGATCACAAACGACAATTGTGATCAGGTATATGTGTAGCCAGGTGTGTTGGTTATTGTTCGTTAGGCTGCTTTCTTTGAAGCGCGGTTATATTACGTAATATGTGGCAGTTTCTCTGAGCAGTCCTCTTTGGCTGGTTACAGAATGCGTATAAAAGGGCAGCAGTTCTGCAGAATAAGTCACTATATTTTGGCAACGTCCAGTCAGAAGAGTCTGATATTTTGCAGACTCTTAGCTGACCTTATGGTATGTGAACTAACGGCAGCAACTTGCCACACTATTGTTGCATTATGCCAGAATGGACAGAGGCAAACTGCTATTGCCAGACAGCTGAATGTGTCCCAGGGAGCAGTTTCTAACGTCTTACATAAACACGCCCAGACTGGTGCATTATCACAGAGACCACGGCCAGGACGTCCTGTGGCACCAGAAGGGAAGACCGCTTGCTTCTGCGGTTATGTCGCAACAACCGGACAAGGACAACTCTTGCTGTACAAAATGAGTGGCAAATTACCATTCAAAAGCATGTTTCTAGAACTCTACTGAATGCAAGGCTACTTTTAGCTGGTTAACTCTATGAACAGAGCAACATGGTGGGCTAGACGCCATTTGCGGTTCCAGGCACAGCACTGGGTTCATGTAGATTTTTACAGATGAGGCAGGGTTTAAGTTCCACCACCGCGATGGCTGAATCAGAGTCAGTAGGTTTCCAAACGAGTTACTGCACGAGGATTGTGCCATACTACAGTGACTTGTGGCCGTGGCAGTATCTTTGTATGGGCCGGTTTCCACTCTGGAGCCAAAACACTATTGGTGGCAATTGACAGAAACCTCAACCAGATAAAATACAGGGACATTTTAGAGAATACTTGCTTGCAATTTGCAAGAAGGTACTTCCAGGACAACTTCGTCCGGCAAGATGACAATGCCCGACCACACCATGCCCATGCAATAACTGCTTTGCTGCAAAACCAAGAGGTAAACCAGTTGCCTTGGCCGACGAAATATCCCTGACATGAATTCTATAGAAAACCTGTGGGCATAAATCGCTAGCAGAATCAAGAGCTTACCCGTCCACCCTACAAATCGGCACAAGCTTAGGCAAGCTCTGACTAATGCATGTAACACAATACTGGATCATACTCTCAGAAACCTCTCTGCATGGAATGAGGGCTCTGGTTGCAGCTAGAAGAGGCTGCACGCGTTGTTATCAGTTTCCATTTTTCACATTTGTCTTGATGATTCTTTTGTGTGAGAGAAAATCCTAACCAACTGATATTCTTGATAATATCGAGTTCATAAGAACTTAATACCTCGTTGTTATCAGCTATAAAATTATCCACGTGCTGTTTATAACGCCGATTTGAATACATATTTAAATTAAATTTTTGATGATGTATTCACACGGGTTGATTTATTAAAGCCATATCGAACACGATAACAAATGTTTTTTCATCCATTACTAATATATGGGAAAAAATCAAAGAAAATATGTTTGAAAAAAAAATCCATTTTAAATGTGAAGTCTGTACATTGCATCACATGAATTACTTGATTCAGCAAATCCCTCCATTGCATTAATAAGGTAATCTTTTTTAAATCTAGGTAAAAGGGGCAGTTGTGTGATCCAACATGTTTACATCCCAATGGCAGCGCAGTATTTAATTGCAAAATTCAATTCAGATTCGAATAATTGCTACAGTGTGACAGTGTAGCACTCATTGTTGGTTTGATTATAGTGAAAATGTCTTAATCACTTCCCTAACAATGAAAACATGGGTGTGGGCACTTCATATGTCATGTTTGCTTGCCTAGTTAACGTAAAAGCAGTTCTGAAGGCAGGTTCTAACTATCAGCAGATTGACTTGTGTTTGACAGATACAGGGAAGAAACAATAAAAGGTGCTACTCGGACATGATTCACAAAGTCAGCGCTACCCATAAGACAAGACATCTGATTTATCACATTTATCACCCTGAGAACATAGGTGTAGAAACTTCATTTGTCATGTTTGCTTGCCTAGTTACAGAGATACAGAAGTAAAACAGTTTTTCAGTAATGGCGATCCTAATTTGCATATTTAGGAAAATTGCGTAAATCTAATTCTAACAGAAACATCTTAATAATGTTCCTCGACCCTGAAAATATAGGTAAAGACACTTCATTTGTCATATTCGCCTGTCTAGTTCCAGAGATATTGTAGAAAATAGGAAATCTGGCGGCCATTTTGCTTTTTTGCAAATTAGACCGTTAAAAACGCAAAATTTCACTTGGGAACCGGGTAAATCGGATTCAGCATCCCAAAATTATGCTAATAAGCCTGGTTCCCAACTTTTACCCCAAAATGCCCCTACTATTCATCTTTTGTGGAAATCCCACTAGACTAATATATATATAGATAGATAGAGATATAGATATAGATAGTACACCAAAATGATGTCTAAAATATTGCCACATACTAGTACATGATTTCTGTCTTGGACTGAGAAACACTGGAAGGGAACCCACCCAAGCACCAAAAAATAATGCATAAATTGTGACATTGTTTTAATAAAATATCACCTCCATTATGACTCAGCTTACCTAAAAAAATCTTTGACTCAATCAGATGCCCCCCCCCCCCCATCCCCCTTCCCTTAGTTGGGTACATAACATGGCTTTACTCACACACTTGTATACAGTGATGGAAAAAAGGGGTATAATACTGGTATCTTATACTAGAATAGGGAATGGTTCTAAAGGTTAGCTTCCCATGGTTAGAAATCATTATTGATATTTTTTTCTTTCCATGGTAAGAAATTTGTTCCATAAAACACAAGTGCCATGTTTCCCTGTTGAAGTGTCAATATCAAGGAGAACAAGCAAATAAAATATGTGCAAAATAAAGTTGTAGTGGGGCTTAAGGAGTATGAAAATGTTTTTTAAAATGTTTCTTAAAAGAATTCATATAAGGAAGTAAAAAGTGCAAAGCTGATCAGTAAGATCATAACAAACAGAAGGCTGAGAAAAAAGGGAATATGTTACTGCAGAAAGCTATGGATGACTCAGAGCACAAAAAGCATTTGTCGCATGCTTCAGTTGAGCTGATATGTTGTTTCCAAGGTAATCAATGTAACCATGACAACTAATGTCTTTTGCATCAGTGAAATTCCCCCTTCGGCTACAGCTCCGGCTTTGTGTGTAGTTTTTTATAATGTATAAGATTTGAGAAGTCACAATGTCAGAACTAAGGCAAAAGTTAATGGGAAGATGGTGTAAGAATACTATTTAAGGAATATAAAATACTAGTAAGTAAACTCTTTCATGCTATGGTATTATAGATAATACCCCCCCCCCCCCCCCCCCACACACACACACACACACACCCTCTTTCAAACTAGCACAATAGAAATTCATTTTTTGTGCCTTTTATAGTTTAATTTTTTATTTTAAAATAAAATATAGAGGCATGCACATCCAGTGAATGTCATGGATGTTAGTTGATTGGGCACATAAAAAAAAATAACAAAATTGCTATTATAGGTGGCATGGTAGAGGGGTTGTTCCTAGTCCGTGAGAGCGCCAAGTCACCTGGAGACTTTGTGCTATCTCTTGTTCATGGCAGAAAGCCAAGCCATTACCAGATCACGTGCAGTGCTGACACCATGTTTCAGATTGACGAGGGACCACTGATACAGGGTATGGAAAATACGAAGGAACAATCTTTTTTTCCAAAATATAGAGATGAAAGTCTTTTGATTTTTTTGCTGGGAATTTAGATATTTTGGGTGATATATATATATATATATATATATATATATATATATATATATATATATATATATATACTCCCTTGGACTCCCATATGAAGTTGTGTGTCTTCAGTACTGGTATTCAGACACCATGTTCTAGATTGATGAGGGACCACTGATACAGGGTAATTGTATGAAAAATACAAAATAGTGGTTATTTTTCTAGAATAAGAAATGAAAATCTTGTGGTTTTTTCCGGAATTCTAGATATATGAGTCACTGTGTTATATTCATGCCTCCTTGAACCCCCAGCCTCCACCATAAAGAGCTATGTGCCTTCAGTACTTGCATAAATTTTCTAAATTTTTTAAAGGTCCAATTTCATCTTTTTGTGCAATTGAAGGCTTAGTGTAGTCAGAAAATTTTATCATATACGTTGCAGATGCTAAAAATGTCAAAATACATAAAAAAAGGTATTTTAATTTGAACATTTACAGCACTTTGATAAAAGAAAATAAAGAGGTAATATTTTTGGGTAGCAGCTGTTATAATATATATATCTTGCAAAGCATAACTCCTATTTTATTGGTTTGTGGACAGGACTTGAGCAGTTGATTAAGTATTACCAGAGCAGTGCCAATGGCCTGCCCACTAAACTGACCACTTTCTGTCATGCCAAGCCACCACCCATGTCCACTAGAAGAGCTGGACGCTCCAATATTTTGCACAGGGCAATAACAGAAGGTCAGTTTGATAATTATAATAATAATTATTTACAGTCTTAAATTAAAAAAAAATGTTCAGTGGATTTTACTGGGGTAAATTAACAGCATTAGATGAATGAAATCAATCTATAAATAAATAGCTAAAATATGAAGATAATATATATATATAGTACAAGGTAAAATTAAGAACCATTCAAATCGGTTATAAAACTTGCTTTAAAATAAAAATATTTAGCTCTTTCTTAAAATGTAAAAACTTGGTAGAACGCTCTATCAAAATGTCATTATTACTTTGAGAAAATATAAAATTTTCTTTGTTGGATTATTCTTTTGAATGAAGAAATTGAAGAAATGAAGAAAAGTAGTTCAATTTTTAAAATTCTCTTTCAATCAATTTTTTCATTAATTACTAAAAGTCAAAGTCCTTTTCTCAGATTGCCACCTGCTGTAATAGTGTACAGATAAAATAATTTTTTCTTCTTTTTCAGGAAACAGTGCTGTTGTGAGAAAGATTTTGAGTAATTTCAAATGTCCAGATATTGATTCCAAAAATGAAAAAGGTAAGTAAACAGAGGAAGTTAATATACCATAAGTCCATATTGATAACTCATGTTTGTGTGCAGAGATTGTTGATTGCAGATTCCCTGCAGAGTTGGGTCAATCCACGTAGATCGATGTTTTTTTAATTAAAGTGGAAATGGGGTTTAAAATTTTAATCATATACCTTTTAAATTAATAGATTTTCTGTTCATTACTAGGTTCCACAGGACTTCACATAGCCAGTTTTCTAGGTCATGATGACATAGTATTACAGCTACTGACCAAAGGTGCTAATGTTACAGTGCGGGATGCTGATGGCTGTACTGCTCTGCAGGTTTGTTCTTATTTCTAAATGTACTTGCACAATTACGTCATTTTCACATCAATCAGTATGCTGAACTGGACTATTTAGCTTTTAAATTGATAGGTGGGCAACTTAGTACCTGACTATTATTTGGCTGACTTGTTTCAGCTATAGACCTGCTTAATTTAAACAGATCATTTTATGGAATTAAAACAAAATAGCAGTTGTAGAAGTTTACCCGTGCCAAAATTTTACAAGATTAAAATTCAAAAATGGAAACTTTACGTCTTGTAAGTTAATTACCACATATAAAAACTGAGTTATTTATTCTACTTAATATACAAACGCAGAAGATGTATTTATTTAAATGTCTGTCATATTGTCTATCTATTTATTCAACTATCAGTCTGTCTGTGTGTCCATCTGTCCATCTATTTGAATATCCAGCCTATATTTCAGAGGGCCTGTGCTGGTAACCACCCAAACACCATCATGTTGTTAATTAAGACTGGTGGCGCAGATCCCCAGGACCGTTGCACCACCACAGGGTGGGTGCCTCTACACGAGGCGGCCATGCACGGACACGTCGAGTGCATCAGGGTAAAGTTGATGTATAGGAGTTACAGCATATTTGTTGTTATGTTATTTGTAGTATTTGTGATAATACAGGGTAGATGTGGCTGAAGTGGTTGTTCTTGTGTTGTTTTAAGGCTGGGTAGTACTTCATGTGCAGCCATGCATTTGCGTGCACAAGGGAATAAGAAGCACAGTAGTTGCTAAAATTATGCTGTTAAGACTGTAGACTTGTGTAAATCAAGTAAGATTGAAATCGAATGTAAAGAAAAGATAAAAATGAAATTTCTGTGTTTTGAATTCGTTTGGGTTTTTCTCATAGAGATCATAAGGGATTTCTTTGATTTCTTCACAGGTGCTACTGGCAGCTAATGCTCCCTGTCAGCCTCGTAATGACAGCGGAGACACGCCGTATCACCTAGCAGTTCAGTACGACCGCCAGGAGTGCATCAGAATATTTGAAGATTACAAGCCCGCACCCGCCAAAACTCACAAATCTGATTGGCTGCATCGGAACCTAGACAGACAGAGTGCTGTTGGTTTGCTGCAAAGATGTGGGATGTCAGATGGGTTGTTTCTTGTGAGACCGAGTTTGAAACATCCAGGAGTGTATGTTCTTACAATGGCGCAAAATGGAACCGCTTACAATTATGAGATAAGAAATGTGGTAAGTAGTTTAGAGTCAAAAGGTTTCTGTATTTTTGGTCAGAGCTTAAAACTTCCAGATAAATTTGAACTAGCTTATACAGTGAGAACTTATAATTTAAAAATCGACTATATCTGTAAAAAAGTAAGAGAGAGAGAGAGAGAGAGAAATTTAAACTTGTTTCTCCAAAATGTTTAATTTCATGCTCAGGTAAGTTACTTCCTACAGCTGTCATGTTACAGTTATAACCCATCTGATACATATTAGACTATTCAGGAGTGAATACTTATATAATCCCATTCTTTATAATTCATAACACCAGGATCAGACTGGTTACTTCATAGATGATGGTCCCTACTTAGAGTCCCTAGACCATGTGATCCAGCATTACGCCACCAGGGCTGACGGTCTTCCTGGCAGACTGATAACAGCTATTAGATCAGGTAGGCAGGCAGCTGAACGTACACATATCAGTCCATGTGCCTGTGCACAAGTGCGCACGCGCCCGCACACACACACACACACACACACACACACACACACACTGTTTTGCCTGCTGTGAAAGGTATGATAGCACAAAGAGTAAAATCTTTTGTACAAATTTCTAATTAATATGATAATTATTTAATAGTGATTTTTGACTTTGATGTCAATCACAAATGTTGATGCTGTTTTTGTTGCACCAGTGCAGGTATTTAAAACAGTGTCTGGTAAAAGATGATTTTATTTTTACGTTCATGTTTTAACATGAAAAATATAAATATAATAATGCATAACAACTTTTTTTTCCAGATGAAACATTGAAACCATTAAACATTCCTCTATACAGTGCCAAAACATTAGGTGAGTTTTTGACAGGAATTACTTTTGTCTTTTATATAAAAATCGTTATTGTAAAGATATATGAATATAGATAAAAGTTCAGAATATTTTATTTAGTCTGTTGACTTATTAATTGTTGCAAGGAGTTGGAAAAGCAAATTATGTAGACCAGTAGTAGTAATCATGCTGAAACTTTCAAACTGTCAAGAATCAGTCAGGTTATCAAAAATTTAAGTATTTATTTCTCTTTGTGATTGCCAGTACTGTGATTTTATCAAAATTCAATGACATACAACATTTTGGTTTGAACATAAAGATATATTCTGGTACCAGGTATAATACCTTCATTTTGATCTTGGTCTATATTAATTGTTCAAAAACTACAACAATGTTATGTATTTTCATTGATAATATGTTGTAAAACCAGCTTTACCTTTGGCATTTTCAGATGACTTCTCGCGCCCCTCGCTTCCTCCTCGTCCCTCGGATCTTGCAGGACAAGATCAGTTTCCAGGTACTGGGAATGGTGATGTCCCACCACCAGCGCCCCCTATTGAGACAATTCCAAAACTTGGCTTGCAGAAAATGTTGTCGAAGTCCCAAGAACTGTTGTCCTCGTCTCCTCCACCTCCACCACCAGCCATCAGTAAGATACCCAAGAGAGGAATAATGGTGAGCTTATACTAGGGAAGTCCTTAGACAAAAAATAAAAATTTTCCCCCTCCATTTCTTTTAAATTTCATTGCCTAAAATCCCTTGGTTTTACAAGCCTAGGTTGGATTTTATTTAGCAATAAGTACAATTTTATGAGTTTTCTAGGGAGAGATAGCAGCATGTAATTATTTTATTGATTAGTTTATATGGACTGTTGTTAGAAAAAATGACAAGAGGCAAATGAGAACAAAGACCTCCACCAACAGTATGCATGATCAGTCAATTGATAAAGAAGAATAAACATAAAGTGATAACAGCTCTTCATTTTTACAGGAAAGTGCCATTAAACTGGATTTTCCTGGGGTAAACTACAATGTTCCTATACTTTCAATAACGTGAACAGTTTTTCACATATAACCCTGATAACACGTGGTTGTTTTATGTTTAAGGTGAATAGAACAAAATCTGTGGATGACACTGATGATTTGGGTCGTCCTGGCACACCCCCTGTGCTGCCACCTGGTGACATGTTGCCTAAACCTCCGTCAACACCAGAGCCAGATGAAGAAGACAAGAGGAAACCCGTCAAGGTAGTGGCGAGTGTCTAATTAAAAAAGAAAACTAAATAATTATGTAATGAACTGTGGAATATGCCCTGAAAACCGTTTATCTAGCTAATTGGCTTTGATTAATAAACAGCATGCACTATTTTGCCCTTTTTGCATAATTATGATGCTAATTTAAACTAACTTCAAACATGTAAGCGATACACAAATAGGATGTCATACTTCATATTGAATTAAGGAATAACAAAAAATGTCTTTACTTCAGATGGAGAGAAAGAAGAAGGTTTGGGCCAAGCAAAGGGCAGCAGAACAGGAAGAAAAAGTATTAAACTTAATAGAACCAAAGAGAATCAAATTACGTGAGTAAAAGTTTTATAAAATACATAAATATGTTAGAGACATTGCAAAGTGTTATCTTATTATCATATCATACTTTAGAAAAGAAATGGCATTTTTGGAAACTGGCCTTATTTCTGTGAAAGCTCTTGGCCTTCAAAATAAAATTGGAAACCTGTTTGACTTGAATGATGGTATACATGATTATACTATGAGCTTTTTAAGAGCTAGATTCTTGTGCTAAAACTCAGCCTTCTGAAATTGGATAGTTAACTGCACAAAGTGGATCATGCTATATTGTTTTAAGAATTAAAAAAAAAAATATTGGCCCACAGTAAATGTATTTAACATGCCTAAGTGGGTTACTATCACCACTATCAGTAACAAAAAGCTTACATAGGCAAGACAATCACAAAATGCTCGCGATGGGAAATAAAAGAAGTGAACGGCATTTAAGATCATTTTTGGGGGAACACGATTTACTAGGCTAAGTTGTTAGCTCAGAAACTGGCATTCTGAATGGACAAGTCATTGGCATATATTGTGTATTTCATAACAGGTCATGAGCTGGGTCAAGGAGAGTATGGGTCAGTCATGAAAGGAGAGTGGACCAACCCCAAGGGAAAGAAGGTGAGGAACAGACTACTGTAAATAAGATTTTGAATAAGTAAAAAAGTAATTCATGACATTTTTATTAGACAGGTGCAAAAGTTAAAAGATTTATGATTTTTTTTTGAAAAAAGAGAAAGAAAGGAAAAAAATGGTGGTGGGGAAATCCCTTTTGCCCTCTGCTCCCTGTTGACTGACATGGTTGAAATAACTGAGATGGAAGTGGGGAGGGGGCGGGTGGTGGCTCATCATATTAGGTTTTGGATTTGTTATTATTACATAGCTTTTGAAAGTTGACAGCTTAAATCCAAATAAAACCTGCTGCTGATCACATGAAATACTTTGTTTTCTCCAGGTTGAGGTAGCAGTGAAGACACTCCATGAAGATAACATTCAGTCTGGCAAACAGGAGTTCTTACGAGAAGCCAAAGTGATGTACGGACTGAAGAATGAGTGTATAGTACAGCTAATTGGGGTATGCGAGGGTCCTCCTATGATGCTGGTAAGATAAAAAGTGATTTGATTGATGAGCTATTTTTAAAGAATATATTTTGATTAACACTTTTAATTGCTTTAATTTGTAAAAAAAGTAATTTCATGATTCAGTTTATTCAATACAACTTGACATAATAACTTTAGATTTTAAGATAAATCAGCAATGTGAACCAAATAAGGAACAAAACTGTTGCAGCAAAAATAAACCAATTTAAAAGTACACCACATTTTGCATTATGCTAAGATTTTCAATACCAAAACACATCCAGTAAACAGATCTGTATTTTCTGACCTTCTTAGGTACAAGAGCTGGTTCCTATGGGCTCTATGCTGGACTTCCTGCTGGACTACCCACACAAGATCAGGATCAAAGAGGACTTGGAGCTGTGGGCAGCTCAGATAGCATGTGGTATGAAATACCTGGAGACCAAGGGGTTCGTACACAGGGATCTGGCTGCCAGGAATATTTTGTTGGCGTCGAAAAAACAGGTACATGTGACTTATATGATGTTGGTAAACATTTCTAACTGTCACAGAATTTTTAAACTGCTATGTTATGCACCATTTTTTTTTAGAGGGATGATGTTGGTTGAATAGTATACACTGAAGATGATTATTATTAAAAAGTAAATCTCACCAGACGCGGATCTTACTTTATGAATTTTTTTTGCACTGTGCATATAGGGAGAGGTATGTTTATACACAAATACACATATATTAAGTGTACATCTGACCTTTAGTAACAGTATTTTACAGATAAGTGGATGTTTTAAGTCACCCAGCAGAATTAGAACAAGAAATATGTAGTGAAAGGTCTCAGGTTGAAAACGCAGCTTTGTAAGAGGCTAATGTAAGTTTCAGTATCAGGGTTATAGGTGTTTCTCATTTGGTATTTTAATGTCTTCCAGGCCAAGATCAGCGACTTTGGGTTATCAAGGGCAGTTGGGGCTGGCAGTGATTACTACAGGGCTTCTGCAGGAGGGCGGTGGCCAGTGAAATGGTCAGTGTGTGCACACGCATGCACGCACACACACACACACACACACACACACACACACACACACACACGAGTTTCAGAGAAGAACCATCTACTCTTTAATTTTACTGAACCCCCCTCCCCTTCATCCACCAACACACCCTGTTTTAATATCCAGCATCATTTTATATTTATTTTAGATTATTAAAAAAAAATATTTACAGCAGGTGCATCTGTTGAAAGTAGACATACGTGATAAGTTAACAAAGGTAAATAAAAGTGAACAAGTTTAATTAAAGCTCTAAGTTGTGACTAGAATACATTTATAAAGACTGTACCTTGAATAAATACAGAATGGAATGTAGTTATTCAAATACTTTCCACTTAAAAAACAATGTTTAGAGATCTTGTAAATGGTTTTTTGCATCTGCCTTGGCTATCAAATCATGTGTCAAAATAAGATGCATGTATTTTTTATTCGTAAATTTTTAATTATAAATTAGGTATGCGCCAGAGTCTGTGAACTATGGTACATTTTCCCATGCTAGTGATGTGTGGAGTTATGGCGTCACTCTGTGGGAAATGTTCTCATTTGGAGAGCAACCCTATGGAGAGATGAATGGGGCACAGGTAATATTTCTGTTTTTTTTTTTCTTGGTTGTCAGCTGAGAGGCAGGTTTAGCTTCTCCCACACTATGCATCTTGATCTTCAGCCCTTCGTTTGTTCGCACCATAACTTTCTGTTCTGTTTACTTTCTTCTTACACCAGTGGTTGAACATTGCATTCTCTTACATATTTCTATCAATATATCATTAATGTTTTAAAATGATATAATTATGTTTTGGGAAATGCTCTGAATTGGACATTTTCCCTTTGAAAGAGATGAATAGTGTGTGTGTAGCTCTAAATTGTACTGGAGACAATATATTTGTGTTAAATAAAAAAAAAATAGAAAGAACGATACTTGCTGAATACCCCATATGGTTTATAATTTCCTACTAGTTTTTATGTCCTTTAAATTCAAATATTCTGTCTACATTAATTGTAAAACTACTCATTCAGACATTATTATTATTATTATTATTATTATTATTATTATTATTATTATTATTGTAATGATTATATTAATTTAATGTTTATCAAATCAGAACAGTTTAACCAGTTCCCAAATATATGCGTAAACAATGGGGCTGAAACTCTTTAGAGGGTCATTAGAGGTTTTCACAAATGAGTGCTGTGTTAAACACTGCATTAGAATAATCAAATACTTTTAACCACAATACATTTTTTTTTTTTGATGCAGGTGATAGCACTAATTGAAAAAGGTGGTCGTCTTCAGATCCCAGAAAGGTGCCCTGAGAAGGTGTATGACATCATGTTGCAGTGCTGGGACTATGACGACAAGAACAGACCCACTTTTCAACAACTCAATGAACATTTTGCAATGGACCCCGAGTATGCAACGACTAGAGACTTGGTCAAGGGAAGATGATAGAGGAACTGTTACCATGGCAACAGCGTGAAACTTGGTCAGGGGATGATGATAATAATGAAACTGTTACCATGGCAACAGCCAGAGACTTGGTCAAGGGAAGATGTCAGAGGAACTGTTACCATGGCAACAACTTCATTGTACACAGCCTAGTTCATGGCTGTCAAATGTGGGTGCTAGTTATAAGTGATCATGGCTTGAAAAAAAGTCCCAGAGATTCTATACAAGTAGGTTTTAGCTCAACATTTTTATCTCCGTTTCACATGCTTCCTAGAGGAATATTTGAACATTTAAACCACTAGTCTATAGTTAACCAGTAAATATCATACATACACAAGAAAAGTATTTCTAATTGATAGGTATACTGAAAAGAAGACAATGATTTTGCCACTGAAGGATCATCAGGGTATCAATAAGTCATATTATTTTACAAGGAAGTGCATTGGCAGAGAGTATTATGTGTTCTTTGATAAAATGATACTGTAAGATGGTGGAGCAGCTACTAAAAAAAGACATTATTTGATATCTGGAAAGCAGGATGCACTGAAACATACTGACATGTATTTGTTTGATGTATGCAAAACGTGAGCTTCTTTCAAAAAAAAAAAATTGATCCATATTTCTAGTGATTAGTTTACATTTAATGAATGGGCTTTCGTATGTCATAAACAAAGCTTTCATTAGCAAATATACCTTCAGATTAAAGGGTTTCTTTTGAATATACATATTTTCTGTCCATATAGTTTTTATCATAATTACATAGAAATAACTTTAAAGTTCTCTGCCAGGACGTATGTGAATTTTAACATCATTGCTTGTATTCTGATGTTTTTATAGTTTGTATCAAACATGCTTTCAAGTTATTTCCCTAATATAATGTAGTTTACAGAAGGGGAACAGCTTTTAGTAGAGTCTTTGTCCACTTGATATTTTATTTTTTATATATTATGATTTCTTCATTGGGGGAATTTTCACATTTTACCAAGAGTGGTTTATTTTTTTAAACCAGCCATATTTAGAAAAGGACATATACTTGTTAATTGACCTCCAAGAAAACTGAGCTATAAAAGGGTTGTGTAAAAATAATGGTGTGAAATTATAACAGTTAAAGAGCAATTCACATGAGATTACTGTTTAAAACATTTGTCTGGTTAGAACTGTACAGTTAGAAATTTTCAACTATTTTGTCGATGATGGTACTAGAATAATATTAGAATTAAAATAATAATTGTAGGTGTTGTAAAAAAATTACTTAATGTTTTAATAGAGGGGGGGGGGAGGTATTATTCGCCAAAATCAATTTGAAAGTTAAGTTACAGGGAACACGTGACTTTCTACAAGCAATCTGTAGGTCCTACAAGGTACAATAATAGTCATTCCTTTTGTCAAAATGTGCACAAATATATTGTTTGTCAAATTACGTGTTGATGCTTCTTTGATTAAATCATTTGTATTCATACTAGTACATGTCAGATCTAGTATTTTGCTAATGGAGGGAACAGATGGGTAATGTGTTTGTGTGTCTTCACCCGGCGGCATTAAAAAAAGTTGACGGCATTTTTGCGGTACAAACTGCGAAAAGTTGCTGGTTTCTTCTCGTTCGTCCCTGAAGAGAAGAGGATATCTAGACCTGAGCTAATGAGTAGTTTTTTTTTTTGAGGGGGGTGGGGGGGGGGGTAGACACGAGGTGTACTATTCTTGCACTGGTTCAGCCACATTTGCCAGTACTAAAACGTGTAGAATTTTTATGGCGGGCGAAACCGCCTTTTGTTCTGTATGGGGAGTATTTAAAATTTTTTTTTCCGGGGGGGGGGGGGGGGGGGAGGTTCAGTATTTACAAGTAACTTTATGAATTATTAGACCTGATGCTACTGCAGCGTGATGTTTAACATTATTTACATACTGATTTTGGCCAGCCGTGTTGATTTAACAGAGGTTAAATCAGTATTGACTTAACCTCTGTTATGCTGTTAACTCAAATCCAAGGGGTATTAGCTAAATAACATTAAAATATTTAAAAGGCATTAAATTAGAGCAAGAATCGACCAACAGGCCTGTGGTATAGTATGCGCCGGACTTTAGCTCTAGTTGTGTTGTCAACGAACTTTTATTCGACTGTGTCTGTTTCAACCTGTGTGTAATTGTTGTGCCTCCTGCTATGGCGGTGCAAGTGAAATGACAAATGAATATTTTACATTTAATTTGATGTAATTATGATGAAGGCCACGTACTCCCAAGTTCATCGCGAGTGATCTTATGCTATGCCGCAGCGTTACTCTACCATAGTTATATTACCACCATCTATCTTCCTCACCCTGCCCCTCCCACCCAATGACCCAGTGTTAATTCCAAGCACCGTTACGGTACGGGACTGGCTGTTAGCTCGGATCTAGGTATCTGCTACGGGGAAGGAGCGATGTAGGTGTTTGTGTGTGCACGAGTGTGTGTGTGTGTTTATGTTTGCACGCGTACGTGTGTGTGTGTGTGTGTGTGTGTGTGTGTGTGTGTGCGTTGGAGGGAGGAGGTTAAGGATAGATGATGCCAAGGTCCACACATGTTGTTCTTGTTGTCTTGTGCTTAATTGTGAAGTGTATGTCATGGAAAGCCTTCCCTCTGATCATCACCACAATAAATTTTCAATGTTTTTTGTTCCAGGCTCATTGATCTGAACTCAAAGTTGGCATTAATTTTTTATCACTCTTTTCCAACAGACATTAAGTGATAATGGCGTAATTATTGTATAACAACGTGCGAAGTCTTGCTTGCCAAATACTACGTAAAATACATATAACAATCCACTAGGCGGGCACTTTCAGCACAACACGTGGCTTTTTAAAATGTATAGTCTGAGACGGGTGGATGAGACCAACATGATAGTACGTCACCTTTTACGTTGAAACCAAGTCTAATATTTGAATGAGGCGTCACCACAATGATGAACAGAGGTGCTAGTGACATCGTGAAAGAAAGGAGTATTGGAGTATGCAGTAACTGGACTCCGAAATTTTAGGACGTGAAAAGGTATTTATGAAATAGCAAGAAATGTATTGACGTTTTGGTGCTTGAACAAGCTTTTATCAAACAAGCTTTATTAGCATAAATTTACACGTCATTTATGAATGACGCCATGATTATGGTTAAAATTGTAGTAAAACTGTATCTCTGTTATCTCTTTTACCTGAATAACTGAATGCAAAAATGCAAACACAGATGAAAAAAATGGTCAAGAAAAGACTCATTTTATTTAACAAAACTTCTTAAATTGAAAAGGCGAATCTGTAGAAAAAATGACAGTTAAGTCAGAAAATGCACAGAGGTAAAAATGTCGAAAAAACAGTAAGTGTTATGGGTAACATCATAGAATTTCCGCACGGTTATTCTCGGGCAAAGTACAGAAATGACATGGGGAAAATGCGGAAGATAAATTATGGTACGGTGAAATATGGTTAAAAATTAAGACCAATGCGCGTAAATTACTTTAGCTTCACAGAAAACAGTGTTATAGTGACAAATAACGAGTTTTGAGCTTTCGAGTTTTATTCACCGACTCTATTTCATACAATTTCACACGTATCTAAACTCTATTTCTCAGTACTAATCATGCATTAACTTTGCGTGATTACAAGGAATTTTCCATTATCATGTTGCAAACCACCATTCAACATTTCCTTATAAGGTAATTTATAAAAAAATTGTTTTCAATGTAAAATGCTTGGACCATACCCATCGTTAGTTTGCATGTTTTTAACACGCGTCAGAAACTATTGAGAAATTAACCAATTAAATCGAACTATGTGACTTTGACATGTTCCATCTTTTCCTACCACGAAAACAATTTCTGCATTTGTTGACACTTGAAGAACCTAACTTACACTAAATAACACCCTATCCTTTTACTCAATTCATTCTGTTTCAATTATTATTTGCAATAAGTGAAAATTTAAGTCATTTGCTTTACAACAACACAAATCCTGAAACACTTGCTAAGTACAACCAAACTTGTCGTCGCGTTCAATGATATACCTGAAAGGCACTGTTAAAAGGTGAATTATGCATAAGAAAAGGCAATTGCGACTGGGGTTGACTCGTTGCAAATAATAGCCTCGAAACGAGTTAAGATATCGATATAAGCACGCGGTCGCAAATTGCGACGCCTTCGAGTTAGGCAGTGGTGCTGATTGACATGACCTGATGAATTGGAACTCCGTGTTAAAATGTCGTATATTATAGTTTAAAGATAATTATTATTATTATTATTATGAAAATTTATCTGTGTAGTCCTAGGATATGATTTAGGTATTAAACTTTTCAATTTCTACACTAAAAATATCATCATAAAAATGTCAGGTATAGCTCTATTTTTAGTGTAGAAATTGAAAAATGTAATACTTGAATTATTATTATTATTATTATTATTATTATTATTATTATTACATGTAATGTATTAATTATAATTATTACTATTTTAACGATGTAGCATATTTCTTGTAGTTTAATACTTTAAAAGGCACAAAGGCCTATATACTAATGGATTAAAATGTCCCCATGCAGTGACGCCTAGTGATCCCATTACTTAAATATCTTGTGACATTATTGAAGGATAAACCTGACGCGAGAATTGTTTATTGCCTAGGCAATGTCTAGATATTTGTGTTAATAGCCCCCATATTGTCCAGGTGTTGACAGGTGAAGCGTGATAGAACATAAAACGCTGCTACAGTATTTTGATTACATGTATATTTAAAGATATAGAAAGAAGCCTGTTAATGTATCGTGTTCGACAGACCAATTTAGATGTGGGTCAGGGCATATAAATACGGAATACAATGTATTTTCTAGGAATGATGGACATTTTAAGTGTATATGTCTGGCCTAACATGCAGGCAGTTATGGTCGGCACATTTGTATTGCTGCTGGTGATGGCATATGCACGGGGAAGGAAGTACAATCTGCCACCAGGTCCTCCACAGCTACCAATACTGGGGAATTACTTTGGTAAAATCCAGAATGATTTCTAGGACGTATTTTTTCTTAAATGTTACTCAACGGCAGAGATGTTAATTTCTAACCTGGCTCCATTGTTTGCTATGTGATAATATTTACATTATTATTCTAAGATGAAAAAAAAAAAAAAAAAAAAACGATATGTATTTGCAATATGAAATAGATATGTAATTGGTCGGTTTAATGAGAGAAGACCTATTTTTATTTTAGATGTATATAAAGTGTTAGATATTTCAACAACATGATATTAACGTATTGGAGATGATATTTTATTTCAGCTTTTACGAAAGACCAAAGGTTGTTCACGGTTTTTGAGGAAATGACCAAGAAATATGGAGACATATTCACGGTAAACTTGGGTAAGTCTAATTTGAAATCAAATTTTATAATCACAATGCTTGCATTTAAACGCAACAGATGAAGGTATAGGACATTTGCCTTCACACATACATGGGCGTATCGGAAATCAAAGGAGAACTCAAATAAACAAAATAATTTAATTCAACAAAAATATAAAAAGGTAAAAATTTATGAAAATCACTGACTGAAGACCGCTGCGGCCAAGGGTCGCTGAGTGAAAACACCTGCTGCCGTTGCCGAAGAGTCCAGACAAACCCTGAAAATTTACCCGGCTTATAGACTTGATACGAGAACGGCAAACTGAAACTGCTCTGCATTGGGGAAGTTTAAAATTGTAGAAATGGGTGGGGGGTCGCTGACACTTGGCATTTATGATGCTAAGTAATTGGTACAACTTTTGTGACCCGATCTAGCAAAGGGGATCCAAGATTTCCATACCGGTTATGTGCAAATAACTAATGACAAGAAAGAAGCAACTCTAGGACAGCTTATTTGCTTCAAAAAATAAAAAAAAAATGACAGAAAAGTTAATATAGTCCACAGCTGATCTTGGCCAAAACTCGTTTTCGTGTTGTAATAAAACATACACATTCTATTCTATTTTTATCCGCAGGTTTCGGACATAACTCAATTGTGGTAAGCTCAGACCATTTGGTGGATGAAATGTTGGTAGAAAAGTCAGAGGAATTTGCCGGCAGGGACACATCTCTTTGGTCGGGTATGTACTCCATACAATTATTGACTTTGGGGGTGAGGTAACCGCTTGGGTAGATTCAACCCAAAGTTGGGGTATTCGATCAAAGCCGAAGGCTGGGGGTTGAACTTAGCCAAGAGGTGACCGAAAGGCAAATTATATAGCTGCTTTGTTTCATGAATACGCATGTAAAGATAACTGAAAGCGAATTTCAGAATAATAATATTTTTGGGGTAAATATGTATTTCATGAAAAGAACGTATGGGCATTATGAGAGAACAGCAGATTTCAGGTAATGAAATTCTTTGACAGTCTTTGTAATTTTAAGCTCCTTTATGACCGTGATTGTATTTGACAGGAGTTAGTCGCAGCTCTAACCCAATTTAATTTTGCCTATTAAGTACAAACATTTTATTTCAATATTGTGCAAATTCGACTTTGGGTTGTGATTTTAGTTAATAATCTACTAATATTATTACCATTATTATTATTATTCTTATTTCGTAAGGTTACTTATCTGACAGGAAACCGATAAATTTACTTACATGACGTGATCATTGAAATAAACCACACCCCGTATTCGGTAAAATGTACTAAAAGGATATGTAACTATCAGTTTAAACTATTATGTCAGTCTTAACAATGATTCTGTATAATTGATATTCCAACTTTCTGAAAATGTATTGCCCCATTGCAGCTTACCTGCTTTCCGATGGTCACAAGGACATCGCGTTTGCTGATTACTGTCCTATGTGGGCATTACAGAGAAACATGGCGGTCAAAGGTCTCAGGTAAATCTGTTTAGGGAGGAAAGTCAATTTGCTTTTTTTTTTGGGGGGGGGGGGGGGGGTTTGTTCTAACATGAACGAATAAATAGTGTATTCTGTTGATTTGGAGTCAATTCGATGCATTTTGATCTCTTCAGGGAATAATTATAAAAAGGCGAGGATTATTAACCATATATGAAGTTACTGGTGTAAGCTTATTACAACAAAGCGTGCTAAAAACGCTTGTCGTCAATATCCGAAGGGTATTTCTCGATAGGCAAATACAAAAGACGAACTTAAACTTAAAACACAAAACTCTTCTCCATTTAGGTCATACCTCTTAAGCGGAAAGTTAAATTGTCTGGCGAAATCCGCTTTCGAAGAGGTTGCCCCTTTGTTGGCGAAACAGACTGAGCCTGTAGACGTGGATTTGTACACCACTTTACTGATATATAATATCATCTGTACGGTTGCCTTTGGTAAGAGGTAAGCTACGTACATTTCCTAATTTAACACAGACTCTGTAAAATTGTTTGCTCAGTTGCTTTGACAGTGCGTATGTGTGTGTGTATTTCATTGATTCATATCTATATCCCTTTGCATTCATCGTCCATTACTTATAATACATTTAGGTTTCTCTAGGAATTATTGGATGTTTTTCATTGCATTTCTTGTTAAATACATAACATAATATCGCATGAAAAATACTTTGGAGTATATAATATTTGTAACAACACACTATTAAAATGGGGGTTATCTTTTTCCTGACCTACAGCTATAAATTCGACGATCCAGAGTTTCTGTGGCTGAAAGAGAAACTGGCAGAAATTATGACCGTTTTATTTGGAAGTCGCCTGCCTGCTGACATATTACCTTTTCTTAAGCACGTCCCTATTCCGTCAACCCGCAGAGCAAAAGAAATTCGCAATGAGATGATTGATTTTCAAAGGCGAATGTTAAAGGAGCACGAAGCCAGTCTAAATCCAGGTAGGAGTGGATTTCTTTTTTACTTTGAAATTGTGTTTCTTTATGCTATTTATAAATGAATGTTTCAAATTTTGAAAATTTTAAAAAACTGTCGCATAGTGCATTGGTCCTGTAAACAAAATCAATTGCTCTGGGTGTTGCTTAAAGGCTTCCTGCACGAGACAAACCCCTCTCGATTTTTCTGAAAAATTACTGTCCAGTTATTTAGGACGACATCTCACAAAATGGATGTGGGGTACTATGTTCTTAAACAGGATTTTGATATTTTAGAGGGCGAACGGTGCCATTTGATACGGTTTAGAACTATGAATCAGCTTGTTGAAATTCGAATTTCAAGAGGGGACCAGAAATCAAAAGGGGTACCCCCTTGACATGCCCTCTAAATTCGTCACCATAACCATATATATATATATATATATATATATATATATATATATATATATATATATATATATATATATAGTTTACCACTAATAGCAATGCGCAAACATACAATTTAAAACTGATTTTTTATTTATTTTCATATTTCCAGAAAATGTTAGGGACCTCACCGACCAACTGCTGTTAGCGCGCCAGGACCATGGCACAACCAACGACGGAGACGTTAAGAAAGTTTTGACAGATGATTGCATTATTCAAATAGTGTTGGATACTTTTATTGGTAAGTGAGTCATGGGTGTTATTTACTTCATGGTAAATGAGTATTTATTATTTCGTTGTTGCAAGGTGTGTAAGTTTGACTGGCAAAAACAGAATTCAACTTAGAAAAATACAAGATTTTATAATGAATTTTGGTATCTTAAGTAGGGGTTTTACTAGTAGTATGAATAGTGGCTTGAAATTCCTACTCCGGGAAACTGTATTTGGAATCCTTGATTGGAAATAATTAGAAGTGTCTCATAATTATGCTGGGAAATTCATTACGCTGAAATTAGTGTATTTTAATCTTGACTTTTACGCTCTGCGTGTAATAATATGTGACACTCAAATAAGCAAATGTATACATATGTTATTAAATACAGTGACTAAATGTGTTTCAATTGATGTCGTGTGAAGGACTTTGTTTGAGTACAAGATTGATATATACCACACTGTTTGAAAGAGGGTTTCATGTTTGCAATATCTCCATAGTTGTATTTCAAACAAAAGCGATTCTACATGTAGAAGTCAATCATGAATGTGTACTTTCATTTGTGTTTATGTTACACGTCTTTTAATGCATGATTTGTGGTGTAATGACAATGTGCACGTTCTTGTTTTGTTAGGCCCTTTCAAGTAATTTGCTTTTTGACTGTGTCTATCTAGGTGGAGTAATCGCATCGAGAGAAACGTTCAAATGGCTTTTGTTGTACGTAGCTGACAAACCAGACGTGCAAGAAAAGATGCATCTGGAAATTATGGACGTTTTTGGTGAGATAACAACACTCTCAAGCACGAACAAACACAAGCACGCACACTAACCTTATAATGGTTGATTGCTTTATTTTTCAATTTATAGTTAAGAAATATGTGACAAAGTGGAAGAAAAAATCAAGGTAATAATATTTCCCGATGTTTGAAACAAGAATCCCATATCATTACTGGGTGCAAGCTTATGATCAGTAAATACAGACATATACTTGTAAACTTTCCATAAGTAATTGTTTTATGGTGCATTTTTCCTAGCTAATTTAACTAAAAAATACTAACAATCATATGCTTTATCTTCATTTTCTCAGCTACGGAAAAAACGATTTATATCGAGAAAATTCAAATTGTCATTACATCATTATTATAACTTTATAACGTATTTCATTTCAAATACGTTTATCTGGCACTTTACTGCAACCTTTCTGAGAATTAAATGCAGTATTTAAGATAACCAATATTTCAGATGTCCTGTCACCTAAACATAAACCATAAATCAGATGAACATGTTATAATTCTGCAGACGTGGACGACCTCAATCAAAGCAAAGCCAAGATGAAATATTGCGAGGCGGTTTTTAAAGAGACCCTTAGAATTCGGCCGGCTACACCATGCACACTGGCGCATAAGGCACTGCGAGACACTACACTTGGTAATCTAATACGGAATAAAGTTGTTTTCAGTAATTAAAAAAGAACAAGTTAAATGCATCTTCAATGACCTCTTTAAACTTCGTAACATTCGTACTTTACCAAAGATCGTAATCTTTTGAATAATGTGTGAGTCATATGCCTGTAACGTTGATAGTTACATGAACGAGGTATACTGTCAATTTTTACGTATTTACACTATCAGTTTCTGACCAATTTCCAAAATGACACTTCAAAATAATTTATAATTGAACAACATATTCCAACAACATGTAGGCGGCTACGATATTCCAAAGGGCACAGTGGTTTATCCAAATCTCTGGGTGATTCATCGAGATCCAAGAAATTGGGAGTCACCAGAAGAATTCAAACCAGAAAGATTTCTTACGAAAGATGGCGCATTGGAGAAAATTGACCCTAAAATATGGCGGCCATTTTCTGCAGGGAAACGGAAGTGTATGGGCGAAGCTATTGCTAGGTCGAACTTGATGATAGCCATAGTAGGTTCCCAAGATAAATAATAATTGATTTTAACGGTAATATTTTGGGAGACAAACATGAGATCAAATAGTAATAATAAGAAAAACCTGGACTCCAGGTTTCATATTGTTCAATTTATTTTGGTAAATTCCCTTGCTGGGTTGAGCTATATCGGTGTCCACCTTGTTATTTTGACTATAATGTATACTTGCCTTTTTTTAAATATAAAACATTACAGAGCAGCATTACGTATACTTAGGCGAGTGTTCTTGACTTTCCATTCTAGTTTCGTATAGAATTGTTTTTTTTTTCAGACTAATTATTATTTTAATAATTTTTATTTTCTACAGGCCATGTTTTTCCGTCAGTTTAAAGTAGCCGTTCCGCCAGGACAGAAACTGGACCTTGACCCGGACATGTACCAAATCCATTGCGTGTCAAAGCCTCAGAAAATTGCCATCAACTCGTGGTAGACACATGGCCAACTTTGAATCCCACGCGGTAAAGTGCACGTTTCCGCACATATTTACCATTTGTGTATTGGATGAAGTATACTAACGTTTTCCTGGTCACATAAATATGTAAAATCAACATCAGAGGAATCATATTAATTATGCAAAATGACACTATGACGATGGACATCTACTTAATTGCAATGGCTCGAATTTTTTTCTGTTGATAGAAAACACAAAACTGCAAGTGAGCTCCAAAAATTAAAAAAAAAATCAATATTTAGTTGTCAAAACACTAGTGTATTTCTTAATTGTGCCGGTATATATGCATTAGGGAATACAATGGTTAACAGAATACATAATATTTGTAAAGACTTGTGTATGGTGACGGAAAAAGGATATTATTTGGTTATATAACTTCTTTACTTAGCATTTACATTTATCAAGAGGGAATTAGTTTTTAAAAACGACTTGTAAAATATTCGATGAAATTGAGGCATAATATTACTGAGTAAATGTGAAAGTATACCAGTTTAAAAGTAATTAATATAAGATTATCGGTTTTAAATAATGTTTTCACATCTGCAGACGGCCATCACTTATGTGTAGCTGTAGAATTGACATATGTATTTAGAGCTTTTCATATATTTCATGGACGATAGTATTATAATCGTATTGGGATTAGTATAATAATAATAATAATAATAATAATAATAATAATAATAATACAGTATGTGTGGGATAGAATTTCTTAAATTTGTGTTTTTATCTGATTATTTTATTCGTATTACTACTACATGTAGCACCCTTTCCATTGTAAATGTCTGGAATGGCCCTCCCTCTGCTCGTCACCACAGTTAAGTTTTCAATGTGTTTTTTCTTTTGGAAAGCCGTCAAAGATCTGAACTCAAAGTCTTCATCACTCTTTTACGATAGACATTAAGTAATAATGGCGTAATTATTGCATAACAGCGTGTGAAGTTTTGTTTGCCGAATGCCATATAAAATACACTGAACAATCCACCGAGCGGGTACTTTTAGTACCATATGTGGCTTTCAAAATAAATAAGATGAGGTAGAGTTGAATGAGACAGCCGTGATGACACGTTAATGTGTTTTTATTTACCTTGAATTCAAGCTGCATAACGTTTAAACCACACGCATCAAAAGAATGATTAACTAGAGCGCTGGTTGAAGCGTGAAAGGGGGACGACGGGTTATAGCTGCAATTACTGGACTCCTATCTGGAAAAATATTTATGGTGTTTTGGTGCTTTAAGGCACGATTTTATTAAACAAGCTTTTTGCATAAATTTAAACTTCTCTTACCAAACACGCCATCATTATATTTTTTAGGTGGAATTATAAAATTTGTTAATTTCCTTAGTATTTACTGACACCGATACGGTGTAGGCCTATTTACATTCCAAATGTAATGGATCCACAAAAGGAGTATTAAGTGGACGGGACATTTGCCTAAAATGAGGAGGCGCTGTGAGGATACCCTGTGACTAACTCATCTTCACACTGTTTTTAAATGTTTGTTAAATATCATCAATTTCAAACTTAACGTCCACGTTTTATTATGTACAAACCTCATAAAATGACTTCAGAGTCCCACATGGCCATAATGCATGAAATCCGATTAAATTGAGTTAGATTTTCTAATGAATTTAAGAAGACCGTCGTACTCGTATGTACTCATTTAAATTGTGTGACTGTATTGATAATGTGCTCGTTAAACATTTAAATGTTATAAAAACAACCATCAAATGGCCCTAAAACAAAGTCCACCTGCAATAAAATATACAAGGTCACATAGTCCGTTGACAGTCTATTCATCCCTTCTGCATGAATCCCAGGTCATAGTGATTTCGTTACTTAAATACCAGTATTAAGTTCCAGTTGCTAGGCATAAATAGGGGATGAAACTTGTCGTTAGAGTTGTTTAATGTCTGCGCATGCGTGTTTGCCTCAATCATTGAGGTTGGGTCAGGTGACGCGTTATAAAATGTTGCTAATGTGTTTTAATAGCGTGATGGAATGGATGATGAGTCCTATTGAATATATGATATACAATTTTTATCCCTAAGGCCATAATATTTAATGCAGATAATTTGCTACATTGTTAAAAAGATTAGGATAGTGGCCAAATCTCGAACAGTCGACATTCTTTTTTGCCTTCTTTCTTTTTGTGAATGGGACTATGACAGTTTGTGGTACATTGGAATGAAGGAGACATAAAGAAACGTATTTAAACCAAACAGGCAAAATGATCCGTTGGATACGTTTCTGAGCCATAACAGGCATACAGTAGTTACCATGACATCTAAAAATTGAAATAGGCACATGAAAATGAATCGATGCTGGACACATTAATAGTATATGAAAAAGGTTCGTAAAAATCAGCACGCGTCTACCTGCAGTTTTTGATAATGGTAAATGGCACATTAAATGACATCAAGGCCGAGACCTAAATATGGCGGCCCTAATTAAAAGGAAGACCGCATAATCCTTTACTGGTCTCTCAATGAATGTCACTGAATGTCATTGAGAGACCATTAAAGGTCATGTAGGTCCGCCATATTTAGGTCTCGGCCTTGCTAGACCTGGGCTGTTCTCGATGTGAATGCTCTTTCATATATCAAAGATGAAATGCGTGTTATATGAATAGTAGTGTTAGTTCCAAAAGATATCTAGTTGTATTTCAAAGACCATCATCATCATCATTAAGCATTACGTGCTATACACAATTCTTTGAAAGCGACAAAATGTGAAATGAATGATAGTTTACTTCCAAAAAATACCTACATGTAGTTGTTTTTAAAATACCACCATCCTCATTAATCACTATGCATGGTACAAATTTCTTAAAAAACGACAAAATGTATTCTGGTTACCTGAATGGATGGCGTATTTTTACTCATCAATGCAAAGTAGAGGAAAAACTGTTTGGAACCTGTTGTTCTTTTGAGCAATGGTAGAAATAGAGGCAAGTTAAAAAATGAAAGGTTTTAACTAAATTGTAATCAATAGACAACGCCGATGGATTTCTACCAGGATATTTGAAGAGCGTAATACAGATGGGGAGTTCTAGCTTCTGTGTCTTTGCAACGGGATCATATGTACGATGATGTTTAAACTAAGGATCTTCACATAACTTCATGAAGCCTAATAATTTTCGTGTTTCACGATTAGACAGATACGATTGGGGTGGGGGTGAGAAGGGCCTATGGTAAAAGGGCTATCAATAAAGAGAACTATTCAAATGAGCACGATTGTGATTGGTTGGTTTGTCACGCGCCACGTATATCACGAAGGACGGTGTGATACGCACTGGCAGTGTGTTAGGTGAAGCAGACTTATTCTGAAAAGTCTCATTATCCGATCTGACTCCATTTAGTAAAACGAGGTAAGTGTTATCTTGACGGAGAAATGCTTTTACAAGTGCGACTCTCAGGTTTAGTGAATGATGAAGTTGATACATTAGCGTGAAACACCAAGAGAAGAATAATTTTTTCTCTACAACTAGTCATGTAAGCGTGGCTTTGATGATGTTTACCCTGTACGTAAATCAAATGAGACAGGATGTATTGTCCAAACATGTTTTGTTTCATTTATTCAAAATAAAACAATGTTTAATGTTTCATTTGGTCTTAAACCTTAGCTACTTTCCTTATTATGTGTCTTAATTTTTTTAATGTACATCCGCCATGGATATAATATTTTGGTTGCATTTGCAAATGTCTGTTGGTCAATATGGCTGTTAGCGCCAATAAAGAATAACTATGGCAAAACCAAAGCAGCAACATAGAGTTTGAGTTACATTTATCAATTATTAGTCAGTTGTTAGCATTGTGGAAAAAGTTGTTGGTAGATTTTGAATCAAACTTTGGCAACTGTCGGGTGAAGACTATGTAACACAGTGCTAGGATTTGGTGGTGGTCCATGAATTACTTAATAAGTTATTTAATAAAGCCTGTTTGGAGCAACATTATGTAAAACTGTGAAGGGACTGACATTTTTACAAATACCTCAGGTATGATAGCTCTTAAATGGGTTGGAATTTGGTATCGAAGATGTAATAAACGAGTTATTTATATAATAAACTAATTAATTGATTAATCAAGTAATATTGGATATTTACCTGATATAAATGAATTGATTACTTATTAAAATTTTCTTAAGAATAATGGTTATCAGTAAAAATGCGTCATACATTTAACATTTTATTATAATTTTGGATGCTTTTTATGAATGAACCAAGACGTTTTTCGTAGCAAGGTACTATTCATTGCATCATTTATATTTATTTCCATTCATTTCTGGATATCAACGAAATATGCTGGTATCAATTAGAATATCAAAATATACTGATGGTTATGTTCAGTTCTATGTATGTTAAGCGTATGAAAGTTACATTTAAAGTGTGTGTGTGTGTGTGTGTGTGTGTGTGTGTTTACATTTGGCACCGGTAACATTTTGCCATTTGACTCATTCAAGTCAGCAGAATACAAACTTCCAAGGAATAATGGTGAGACAAATGTACCAAGACTAACACATATTTTTGGCAGAAGAAACTATTTTGTAAATGTGCAATGTACTTAGAATGTTTGTTCATCCATTGCGTAAACGAAAACGTTACAACGAACAATCCAAAGCCTTTTAAATATTTGGGGCAAAACACATGGAATTAAAAAAACGTTTTCAGAGTTATATCGAGAATATTACTTGTTGTGTTTTGTCTTTTTTTGCGCTGAAATAGATGGCTGCGGTATTTTCAAACTTTGTAGCCTCCGTCTGCTTGGTAAACCTGCTGATAGTAGACACCCAAGCAGTGTGTTGCCACAGATATTATACGACCTTTTGTCTGGACTGCAGTACGGTAAAGTTTCATTTTGGATATTGTTACGTCAGATCAGTTGCACTGCTTGACTCTTTGACATGCACTTTTTGACTCAATGACAAGTAAGTTTCATCAATCCATTTGACTGATTGAAGAAAATAAAATTTGTAAAAATTACATATTTTCATGCCAATGGAGGTAGTAACATGACGAAGAAGATTAAGTTTCCATTTACTTTAGACTTGG